GTGCTTGGCAAAAGCTCAATCAAAAACTCAATGTCTCTATCTGGTGGCATGTCTAGCAATTCTTCTGGAAAAACATCCGGGAAATCCTTCACCACTAGTACTTCCTCCTGTACAACTCCTGATAAGGAATTTACTTGTGTCCTATTCGGCACATGCCGGGATACATACTTGATCCTTCTTCCTTCTGGGGTGGTGAGCAAAATCATCTTACTGGCGCAATTGATGTTTCCTCCATACATCGATAGCCAATCCATACCCAGAATCACATCCAAACCTTGCGACTCCAAATTTATCAAGTCTGAGGGGAAAACATGCCTACCTATGGTCAATGGTATCTGAAAACATCCTTGGCTTGCCATATGCTCTGCTCCTGGCGAGCTCACTAACATAGGTGTACTAAGAACTTTGGTGGGAAGTTTATACTTATCCACAAATCCCCTTGATATGTATGAATGCGATGCACCAGTATAAAAAAGAACGACTGCAGTAAATGACTTAACCAAAAACTTACCTATTACTGCATCTGGCTGGGCTTCAACCTCCTGCACGTTAACGTGGTTCACTTGTCCCCTGTTGAAAGGGTTGGGCTTCTTTCCAGATATTCCATTGTCGTTTCCATTCTTAGCTTCAGGACATTCATTGGCATAATGTCCAGTCTTCTGGCACTTGTAGCAAGTAACGTGGCTTAAATCTTTCTTGGCGGGCATTGCTGGGTTGGAACGGTTCTGTCCATTGCTTCCTCCATTACCGTTCCCGTTCTTGGAGCTACTATGGTTGTGTGAACTTCCTCCATTGTGAGTGTGGCCTCCATGGTTCTGGACAAGTCCTCTTGAGTTCGGGGTAAAACGAGGTCTCTGCTGAGCTCCAGAATTATACTTCCCTTGTCCATACTTCCTCTTGCGATTGTCAATCTGCTGCTGCTTCCCTTCAATCATGAGAGCTCTATCTACCAACTCCTGGTAGTTATTGAAATTTGCCACCATCAACTTCATGCTCAGCTCATCATTCAGTCCTTCTAGAAACTTCTCCTGCTTCGCTGCATCTGTAGCGACGTCATCTGGGGCATAACGTGCTAGCTTACTAAAGTCATCCACATACTGGCCAATGGTGCGTCCTCCTTGGCATAATTTGCGAAACTCATGCTTCTTCATGGCCATAGCTCCTGCTGATACATGGGCAGTGCGAAAGGCCTGCTGGAACTGGTCTCATGTAACATTGGCTATAGGAAAAGTGGCTGTGTAATTCTCCCACTATGAGGCTGCTGGTCCATCCAATTGGTGCGCGGCAAAATGCACCTTCTCAGCATCTATACATCCTGCAGTGGTTAACTCCGTTCCAATCCTGCGGAGCCAATCATCTGCAACTATTGGTTCAGTGCTGCTAGAAAACACCGGCGGCTGCAACCTCAGAAAATGGGCTAAGTTGTCAACTGGGGGTGGTGGTGGGTTGTTGTTGTTGTTGCCTTGGTTCTGAACTAACAACTGCATCAAGGCATTCTGCTGCTGGATCAACTGAGTGAGCTCTGGTGGAAAGGTAAATCCGGGGTCACGTCTCGGAGGCATCTGAGGGTTTAGAGGGAAGAGAATAGAACAGAATGAGGTCTAGTGAGAAAACACTACCCATATGCACATGAGACAAACACAATCATATCACTTCAATCAATTCAAATAAGGGCATACAATCGGTCTAACTATCATTTCAAAGTGCTCGGACTAATGTATATACATGGGGGAATACTACTACTGATATGGTGGTCGACTAGAAAAATTGATCGGTGGAAGACTCCATAATATCCGCTCTAGCTTCATCAACATAGTCTTCATCGCTATCGTCGGGGTCCGAGTCGGTGTCGTCGATGATGATGTAGTTCTCCGGGCAAGTAGAATCATTGTCTTCTCCTCCTGGCGTGGGGTCTCCCATGAATACTCCTAGCTTCCTTGTCAGATCATCATTAATCTCCACTAGTATCGTCATTTCCTCCTTGTATCCATCGCGTGTAGACTTGAGTTCTTCCTCCAGCTCTGTGATCCTGGTCATCGCCTTCTTCAGATCTATCATGCCTGCGCACATCTGGTTCTCCTGGCGACGAATGTGCTGGTTTATCTCCTGGATGGAAGCTGCAATGGATCTATCCTTCCTGGTGCTGATCATCTCCCATTGCTCATCTTGGCGCCCACAAATATGGTAGATAGTATCCTTGAGATCCTTGTGGTAAACATCTCCAATGCATCCCATGGTGATGTGGACTGCCATACTCTTTCCTAGACTCCAGGTTGGTGCATCAAAGGAAAACTCTATGGGCTTAGTGACTGGCGTGAATGTCCTTCCTGGAACTTGAACTTGAATCATCCAGCGCTCCTCTTCTGATAAAGTGGAGTTGTAAGTCCTGGTGAAGCTTGGTATTCTGATATTCAGGTACCTAGTGACTTCCTTCAAGTGACGTCCAAAATGTGTGTCTTCATCCGGTTGTGCAAACTTGTTCCTTTCGTCTGCCATCCTAAAGAGTAGAAAATGGAGAGGAGTCAGAAATGAGAAGAGAGTAGTGATCTAGGGCTTTATCTTAGTGGTTGTGTCCTACAATCAGCGTGTGCTCTGATACCATCTTGTAGCGACCAGACCTCAAATAGTCTGATCTCTGTGCATCAGTGTCATCCCTGGATCGGTAATGCTGACACGCACAATACTTGAGATTTATAACAGAGTAGCAATCACACACTTATTACATCGAATATCTCAAAAGAGAACTTATTACAATAAATATGGCTTAAGGCCATCTAATATGATAACAGTGGAAGGCTTGGAAGATAAAGTGAGTCCATCAACTCCAACGACATCACTGAGTGAAAGACCACGACCTAAGGCACCTTACTCGTCGTTTGAAAAGTCTGCAACATGAACGTTGCACCCGAAAATGGGTCAGCACATGGAATATGCTGGCAATGTAACACAAGAGAGTAATGAACAGAATAAGGCTATCACTACATGCATATTTGGCTGGTGGAGGTTGTATGGTTAATATGATTTGCGGAAAGCTAATTTTTCACTACAACAAAGGATTAAATTTTATTTAACTATCATGGTGGTCATTAAACATTGAGAAGGTTCACCCAACTCAATCCCAATTAAGCATCATCATTAAACCCAATTAAATTATATTAGGAGTGATGAGATCCACATGATAATCCAAGAACTAGATACTCATGATGTCCATAACCGAGGACACGGCTAACCATGATTAGTTTATACACTCTGCAGAGGTTTGCACACTTTTCCCCACAAGACTCGATCTCCTCCGTTGGATTTCTCGCACTACATAATGTTTGAGAAACGGATGACCGAGACATAGTCTTTCTGAAGAGGTCCCCTTAACTGATAGATAGGCTGGTACACCTACAACCCCCTACATCTGCTAGCCCATCATGGAAAGGTTTCCCACAACTTACTCAACTATGGCATAGCCCATAATGGCATGTGGCCGCACATGGAAGTTTATAGCATGAATAATCTTATGATCCCTTTGAGCCTGGGTGGCAGTCCATAGGAGAATCACACGGTACCCCGGGATTTCCAAAAATAGAAGCAACACTAGGTTCCCCAGGTGCCTCAATCCACCCAGATGTGTATTAAATTTGCCACCTTAAGTTAACCATTAATTCAAAATACCCACATCTATCATGAATACACTCAAACCCAAACCACGTCTACGAGCATAACATAGCAATATAAGCAACATAGAAGTAACTCCCATAGGTTTGATAATAAACAGGTGAATAGGTACTACCTCATCTACTTCCCAAACCCACAATTTAAATCAGATCCTAACCATGCAATTTTTTGATGATTGATCTAATGCAATAAAACTGGGCAGTAAAGAGGTATGATCAAAGTGTTACTTGCCTTGCCGATGATCCGTGAAACCTAGAGACTCGTAGTAGCACGCTTCGCACTCCGGGTACTCTATCACAACCAAACAAGCATACAATAAGCAATCAATCAAAGATGCACGGGTAAAACTCAAGTAAGAAGATCCAACCAGAAAGTTCAACTTAAGAACTCCGGTTTGCAAAAAGAATCAAATCAAACGAAGCAACGAAACTCAAACTGCGAAAGAAACAAGCTCCGATTACTAACCTGGACTAAAGTCAAATTTTATAGTAGGAAAAACTTTTTTAAGTTGATTAACCAGAAAGAGGGCTCCGAGACAAAACTCTAGGCGCTTGAATCGCCTGATTCCGATAAACGAGCGAAAAGATAAACTAAAACAAAAATCGGATCAGAAATCACGATCGAAAATAATCGCGAAAAATCCGAGAAAAAGAAAAACTGACGAACAGGCTAACGAACGAACGTTCGCTGTCTGCGGCTAAACGGTGAAAATCGTTCATTAAAACGAACGAACGAATGGGCGTTCGCTAAATAAATAAACAGACGAAAAACCGACGAACCGATCTAAAAAAATGAACTAGGGTTTATAAAAAAGACGAACAGTTTTAAAAGAAAAACCGGCGGCGGCTACCTCGAGTCCGGCGGGATTCCGGTGAGGCGGCGGTGAGCTCCGTCGCGGCAGCTCGCAGGCGGCGGGGGCGCGGGCGGCGAGCAGCGGCGGCGTGGCGACTCGGGCTAGGGTTTGCGAGGGGGCGCAGGGCAGCTGGGCTGTCGGGGTCCCGGGGTCGCGGCTTAAAAAGGCCGGCCCGAGGTGTCCTGGCTGGATACGGCCCAGAGTCGGTTACACTTTTTTTGAAACAATCCGACGTGCAGAAAAAGAAAGAAAAGAAATACTAAACAGACTCGAAAAATCCCGAAATAAATTTTCCCCGTCCTTTAAAAATATGCCGGACAAGGTGAACATTTATTTGGGCCTATAATGTACCCCTAATAATAATAAAGCGCCGATCGCTTCTGGTCGTCCGTCGCGGCTTTTTTGCAAAACATCCTTATACTTTTTGGTAATTGAACCCGCTAACCTTTTTAAGTGGATCTAAGAAACTTTTTTTTACAAATTAACCATTCCGCGCTCCTTTGTGTCTATCCCTCGACCCCGGCTTGGATCTGGCGACGCCGCCACCCCGCCGCCGGCCCACGTCTTCTGCCGCCCCCTGCTGGCCCGCGCTCTCCCCCACCGCCGCTGGCCTCCATCCTCTCCGTACTGGTGATCTCCCCTCCTCTCCTGTCCCTTCCCTTTTCTTCCCCAGATCGAGAAGGGAGGCCATGGCACTCCCGCCGTGGCTAGACCCAGACCAAGCCCATGGGGTTCCAGCTCGACCTCCTCGTAGCGACAACGGCGGCGGGATCCGCGGATCCCCGACCATGGCGATCCGAGCGCCAAGACGCAGGCATATGGAGAGAGGAGGCAGCGCGGCCATGGCGTTCTAGCTGCAGCCGGATCACTGGTTCCACCACGAGTTACTCGCAGTTGCTAATGACGACGGCGACTTCGAACTCTAGCGGGCACTCCAGCTCGTCTTCCTCCACACCTCCGCTCCTGCCCGTCTTCCCCGGTGTCATTCTCCTACAAAACCTCGACCCTCACAATGGCCCCTCATCATTACTGTCCTCTTCAGAAGAGCTTTGTTTAAGCTGAGCTTCTCTTTCGGCCACCTGCTCTTCTTCTCTTTCCATTTGCCTTACCAATCACTTCACTATTTCTTCTGTCAGATTAATCTCTCTAAGCTTAATTCCGTCCTCGACGCGCTGGATGCCCAAGTTGTTGGGTAACTAACAACAAGATTTCAGGAAGAAATAGTTAAGATCTTGTAGGTTACTGAACACTCCAGATAGTTAAAAGAAATCTTACTTTCTAAGTGGAGTCAACAGACAACAGGATGAAGCTTCTGAAGATGTCGCGGTTTGACATTCATACTCTCAATTTGAAGCTGCATATCACTCTGTTGAGCCAAAAAAGATCATAAATTTCACATTCATTTGGGTGAACATGTTAGCTTTCATGTAGTGATATTTTGCTTTGGCAGTGTACATCGTATGATGCTGAGGCCTAGAGATGAACTCTTCCATCATCTTAGAAGAAAAAAGTTTGTACCCAATAGAATGAAATATTTTTGACCAGGGTGAAACGGCTACCTGGTCATGAGAATGCCTCAGGTGTGTTGCAGTTTCTGAAACTACTGCATGCAGATTAGAGATATCTCGGAAGCTCCTGTAAACTGAATCCCCACTGCTGCTGCTACTGAGCCGCGCTACTGATGTGATTGAGTGTGAATTTGTCTTCAGGGTTGTATCAGCATGGTAAGAGATCTCGCTGATAGCACTGCCTGAAGGGCTAGCTCCCCTGTTGGCTGACCTATTTATATTTGCGAGTGCGTGGTCACGCTGCGATGAGAGAGATGACTGGTGCAATAATACAGCTGTTGTTCCATTTCTGTTACATTTTTTTGTATTCAGTTGATAGGTGTAATCAACAATTTTCAGAAACAAAAATCAAATGCAGACTTGAGTATTACCTGAGGGCGCATTGGAAAGGCTTCTGGAACTAGGAGAAGAAACAGTTGAAGAAGATATGGCCTTGGGTGTTTTGCAGGCATCAGGTGTAGCCGAGTGCATGAATGAAAGTTTGCCCTTTGAAACGGCGTATGTCGTACATAAGCTTGGAATGCATTTAGAGATTTTTGTTGCGGTCTTGCTTCCTTTGAGCTTCCTACAAACAATCAACAATGGTAACCACATGATTAAGATTGCACTAGGATTTCTTATCCTATGTTGTACTAGGTTTTACTTTTTATAAAAATTGTTCAGCCTATTTTTTTTTGCAAATTTCCATATTGAACTTGGAACCAAGTAGTTGCAGTGCGACCTTCAGTGTTAGGCCGGTAGCTGGGGAATCAAATGAGAAGACAAAGATAGAGAAATATGGAAGGGAAGAGAGGCCAAAGAAGGAAAGGGTGGGCTAACGGCTAATCAAGAGGATTTTCAAACGAAATAAGGGAGCGAGGAAATATAAGGAAAGAAATAGAGGCTAATATGCATGTTGCATGTCTCGTGATCAAAATGAATGAAACATAAATAGCATAAGCAGAGGCACAATAAAAGTACAAGAAGAATATAGATATTGAGGCATGGCCTAGCGTCGTAGTGATGCGGGTGGACAGGGATGTGGCAGAGGACACTTGCCATAGTCTGTTGGCGTGGCCACCGACATCGACGACGTCCGCAAACATAAGTAGGGATGAAGATGAATACAACCGACACTCCCACCGTAGGTAAAGGGAGAGATGCGACTGATGGTAACCCCAACCCGACCATAGCATCATCAAACCACGGCCCTCACAACTCACTTATTTGTTTCCATATTAATGAATCCAAGTTAATGTCATTACTCGATGATCATGAACAGCAAGCAACTCCTAACCATGTCAAACAAAGCTAAGAATATTCAAGAAATACATGTTAGTTACAAAGCATGAAATGCATGTGATGTCATACAGCAAGATGAAAAGAAGCTATTGAAATTGGCAACAACATTTTCTTGGAGTCCTAGAATGCAAGTTGTGAATTTTTACGATATCTAAAGACGCGTTGTTAAAGTACATGATCTTTTAGTTCCTAGCAATAATATTGAGTATGTTCATGTTTTCTGTTGCTACAATACAGAGGAGACTAGCCTTAGTCTGACAGTGTGACAAGCAAGTAATTAAACGATACGGAAACATGGCCATCTACCTATATAGAGGTGAATCTAAATATGGCCATCTCCCTGTATAGATGTAAAACTTCCTTTCTTTCTCTCATTTACCCGCAGCTCAAGGCCAGCGGCAGCAAGCAAGAAAAGAAAGTAGCAATGGCAAGCAAAACAACTAGCAGCAAAGCAAGCTAGCAGCAAGCAGCAGCAGGTAGGCAGAGGTGACTCCTCACCTTGCTATTCGTGATGGGGTCTGATGGAGTAGGGAGGCGAGAGGACGGACGCGAGTTCCGGACGGTGTCAATTGCGGTCAGCTGTCAAGGAAGAAGTAGGAGGGACCCATGGCTTCGAGTTTGTGGTTAGAGGTGACACGGACGAGGCGGAGCCCGTCCCTGGAGCAGCTCGAGAGGAGGATGCCCACGGCGGTGTCGCAACGGCAGCCGATGGAACCAAGAAAGGCGGCCTGGGCTTAAGAGGTTCCAGCACGCCGGTGCCCGGAATCACCATTAAAGAGACGACACGAGTAACAATAGAGCTGGAGAACTACCTAGGAGTAAGAATGCACCGGAGAAACGAGGTGGTTCATGGCGGCATCCAGCGGGCGTGCATGTTGGAGCCGGAGGCATGGACGTCGATCCGGACCGAGGCCTGGCGGATCTCGCCGGTCCCTGCGGCTGGCGTTGCAATGGCGAGCGGCGGCGTCCCCGGTGAGCTTGACGAGAAAGGGGATCCAGGCAACAAGGAAAAGAGGGAGGAGTGAGGTAGTGTAGTGGAGAAGGAGAAAAGCAGGGGGTCACGGGCGCGTGTCCCTTGGGAGCTGATGCTGCTGGACTGACCCAGGAGACCCACTGGTCAGTGGCAAAAGGAGGGGTTGAAAGAAAATAGAAATAAATGAAATTGGCTGGAATATCTCTTCCTCTACTGCTTTCCTAAGCTTCTCATGTTAGCATAATTTAAGCGGTTCGGTGCTCAAAACTCTACAAAATATCTTGGAAGATTTCAGAGATGCTATATATAATATAAGTATTATTCTAATTTCAAAATATATATCTAATTTAATGGTTAATGTATTGTTGTGGCTATAATGAAACTTCCAAAAAAATTGTGTCAGAGTTTTGTACAATGAACAACAGAAGTTTCAATTTGTTGTAAATTTAAGCTAAGGTTTTTAAAATAAATTGTGGTCTCTAAGCTTGTCGCATGTTATCCATCAACTAAATGTATTGTATTCTTATAAGTGCAACCAAGGCTCAATTTTATTTGAATTTTTTGTGATAATCTTATTTGATTTTGAATTTAACAAGGTGGACTAAATATTATATGTTCTAAATAGCTTGATTTGAACATCGTAGTTTTGCTAACCCGTTGCAACGCACGGGCCCTTTTCCTAGTGCAATTTTGAAAAACGCATATTTTCTTAATTCAAATAAAATAGCGATAAAACTCCGAATAAAATTCTTTTTTGATTTTAATATTAAATCTCCAATATTTCTTTATTTTGAGGAAGTCATTTTATCCTCTCTCTTTTATTTTTTTATAAAAGAAATATTTGAAGAGAAAATAATTAAAATCAAACGATCCTATATTCAAAATTCGAGAAAACTCAAATATGAAAATAACAAAATTCCCAACTCTCTCTGTGGGTCCTTGAGTTGCGTAGAATTTCTAAGATTAAGCCAAAATGCAATAAAATATGATATGCAATGATGACCTAATGTATAACATTCCAAATTAAAAATTTGGGATGTTACACACCCGTTGTATGTCAACATAGAGCTTATCACACCCGATCATCACGTGGTGTCTCGGCACGACGAACTGTCGCAACGGTGCATACTTAGGGAGAACACTTGTACCTTGAAATTTAGTGAGAGATTATATGGTAATGCTACCACCGTACTAAGAAAAATAAGATGCATAAAGGACAAACATCACATGCAATCAATATAAATGATATGATATGGCCATTGCTACCTCTTGAGCACTGCGTTGGTTTTCGCTTGAAGAGGAAACGATGATGCAGCAAAGTAGCGTAAGTATTTCCCTCAGTTTTTGAGAACCAAGGTATCAATCCAGTAGGAGGCCGCGCACGAGTCCCTCGCACCTACACAAACAAATAAATCCTCGCAACCAACGCGATAAGGGGTTGTCAATCCCTGCACGGTCACTTACGAGAGTGAGATCTGATATATATGATAGGATAATATTTTTGGTATTTTTGTGATAAAGAGAAATAAAAGATGCAAGTAAAATAAATGGAAATGGAAATAACTAAGTATTGGAAGATTAATATGATGGAAGATAGACCCGGGGGCCATAGGTTTCACTATTGGCTTCTCTTAAAAGCATAAGTTTTTATGGTGGGTGAACAAATTACTGTTGAGCAATTGACAGAATTGAGCATAGTTATGAGAATATCTAGGTATGATCATGTATATAGGCATCACGTCGGAGACAAGTAGACCAACTCCTGCCTGCATCTACTACTATTACTCCACACATCGACCGCTATCCAGCATGCATCTAGAGTATTAAGTTCAAGATAACAGAGTAACACTTTAATCAAGGTGACATGATGTAGAGGGATAAACTCATGCAGTATGATATAAACCCCACCTTGTTATCCTTGATGGCAACAATACAATACGTGCCTTGTTGCCCCTACTGTCACTGGGAAAGGAGACTGCAAGATTGAACCCAAAGCTAAGCACTTCTCCCATTGTAAGAAAG